AGATTATTTCAGGTGTCAGGCAACCGAGAGGGTCCAAGGTTTTTGCAATTGTAGACAGAACATTTCGTTTTGTGACATTATCATCAGTAAAATTCATGTTTATGTTTAATTCAAAATTATCTGTTTGTGAGTTCCAGGTGATACCCAAAGTTTTCAAAGTATCTTCAACCTTTATATTTATTGCGTTTTGTGATTCTTTGTCATGATCAGGAATTTGTTTGAATTGAACACTAATTGACTGTTAGATGCCCATTTGTGCAAAGGGAAACCACCGCGAGACAACAATTCAGTAAGCCTTTTATGCAAGAGAACAGAATCTTCTTCATTAGACGCACCAGTCATTAAATCGTCCATGTACAAATCATTTTTCAATATTTCAGATTCCACAGGAAAATCATGTTTTTCATCTTCAGCAAGTTGGTGAAGCGTACGAATAGCTAAGAAGGGCGCACAAGATGTTCCGTAAGTCACGGTAAGTAGTCTATATTCCTGTATGGATTGTGTTGGAGATTCTCGCCATAGTATTCTCTGGTAGTCCACATCATCTTTAGATACTAAGATCTATCTATACGTTTTTTGAATGTCAGCATCTAAACAAAATTTATGTTGTCTCCACCGAGTAATTAAATCTCTGACATCTTGTTGCAACGGATATCCAATCAAAAGCTCTTCATTTAACGATTTTCCTTTTTCAGGTTTAGCACTTCCGTCAATGACAACTCGTAGCTTCATGCTCAAGCTCGTCGGCCGAAGAACAGCATGGTGAGGTAAGTAGTGAAGTTTATGTTTTCTTTTCATTTTCAGGTACGGTTATCATATGAGATTCTGACTCATATTGCTTCATAAATTTGTGATAGTCTTCCTTGAAGTCAGCGTTACGTGTGAAACGTTTCTCCATATGCTGTAAGCGACTAACAGCAAGAGGGTCTAACATCACCAAGATTTGTGGGAGGATCATCCTTGAACGGTAAACACACAATGTAACGTCCGTCATCATTGCGCGTGTGTGTGGATTTAAAATTCTCTTCACATTGTGCTTCTAATTCAGTCATCGGCTTTTTACGAGGTAAGTTCTCTTCAATTTCCCAGAATTGTCTGAGTAATTGTGCTTCGAATTTAGTGTGAGCAACTATCATATTGTGTTTCTGTGTAGCAGTATCAGTTTGTAAAGCCTTACCAGAGATCAACCAATCCAGACGAGAGTTAAGTGCGATCAGATAATTGTACTTGTGTAGTCCTTGTAGTAGTATATGAGCATGCACATCGGCACCAAGTAGAACGTCAATAGATCCTGGCTTGTGAAAGTTTGGATCAGCTAGATCCAACTGCATATACGAAGGCCAAGTATCTTGTGGGAATTCACGTGACGGCAACAATGATGTGAGTTTCTTGAGTACATATGCATTTACTTCGAATGTGGAGGATTCGCATTTTGTGGAATGTATTGTAAGTTTAACCATAGATTTTGTAGTTACCACTGATGAGTTTGATATACCAGAGATCCTGCCAATAACGGGAGTGCGATCAAGATTCAATAACTGTGCTGCTGCTTCAGAGATGAAAGAGCCCTGTGAGCCCTGATAAACAAGAGCTCTTAGTGTATAGATACCATTGTCCCTGGAATCAACCTTTATTTCGGCTGTAGCTAAGATAACCATTTCATCATTTTCTTCAGGCTTCAAGTTTACACTGAGGTTGCAAGAAGTACTAGGAGTAGATGTATTTTCCTTTGGTGTAGTGGTATCCTTTTGAGCTTCATCAGAAGTATTATTCTTGGGGGAGGTTGTGAAATGTAGTAACGTATGATGTCGACGTCCACATTTTTTGCAGTTTGTACTCTGTCTGCAATTGAACACCGAGTGACATTTGACCAGGAAATTGAAACATATATTGTTTTTCTTTATAAAATCCTGGCGTTCAGAATCCGTTACTGCATAAAACTCTTTACAGTGGCAAATGTAATGATTCTGTGAGCAGTAAGTACAAGTGCTTTCGACTTCGGTAGCAAAGCTTTTAACTGTAGTTATTTTTGGAGTATGTTGAACAGATTTCAGTGCGTCTTTTCTAAATGTTTTTCGAGGTTGTGAAAGATTGACCATTTCGATTGTTCGGAATCGTTTTTCTAGGAAGCTGTTTAGGTCGTCAATTGTGGGAATATTTGTTGAGTTTTCTAACGACTGTTCCCAAAGCTTGTGAGATTCAATGTCTAACCTTGAGACTAGAATATGAACGACTATTGCATTCCATGAATCAATCTTCAAATTTTTTAGAGATGTGAGACATTGGCTAGTAGTGTCTAGTAAATCTTTGATACCTTTTGCTGATTCAGTATCTCAAAAATCGATTTAGAATATCCAATCAAAAGCTCTTCATTTAACGATTTTCCTTTTTCAGGTTTAGCACTTCCGTCAATGACAACTCGTAGCTTCATGCTCAAGCTCGTCGGCCGAAGAACAGCATGGTGAGGTAAGTAGTGAAGTTTATGTTTTCTTTTCATTTTCAGGTACGGTTATCATATGAGATTCTGACTCATATTGCTTCATAAATTTGTGATAGTCTTCCTTGAAGTCAGCGTTACGTGTGAAATGTTTCTCTATATGCTGTAAGCGACTAACAGCAAGAGGGTCTAACATCACCAAGATTTGTGGGAGGATCATCCTTGAACGGTAAACACACAATGTAACGTCCGTCATCATTGCGCGTGTGTGTGGATTTAAAATGCTCTTCACATTGTGCTTCTAATTCAGTCATCGGCTTTTTACGAGGTAAGTTCTCTTCAATTTCCCAGAATTGTCAGAGTAACTGATCTGCTTCGAATTTAGTGTGAGCAACTATCATTTTGTGTTTCTGTGTAGCAGTATCAGTTTGTAAAGCCTTACCAGAGATCAACCAACCCAGACGAGAGTTAAGTGCGATCAGAGAATTGTACTTGTGTAGTCCTTGTAGTATATGAGCATGCACATCGGCACCAAGTAGAACGTCAATAGATCCTGGCTTGTGAAAGTTTGGATCAGCTAGATCCAACTGCATATACGAAGGCCAAGTATCTTGTGGGAATTCACGTGACGGCAACAATGATGTGAGTTTCTTGAGTACATATGCATTTACTTCGAATGTGGAGGATTCGCATTTTGTGGAATGTATTGTAAGTTTAACCATAGATTTTGTAGTTACCACTGATGAGTTTGATATACCAGAGATCCTGCCAATAACGGGAGTGCGATCAAGATTCAATAACTGTGCTGCTGCTTCAGAGATCAAAGAGCCCTGTGAGCCCTGATAAACAAGAGCTCTTAGTGTATAGATACCATTGTCCCTGGAATCAACCTTTATTTCGGCTGTAGCTAAGATAACCATTTCATCATTTTCTTCAGGCTTCAAGTTTACACTGAGGTTGCAAGAAGTACTAGGAGTAGATGTATTTTCCTTTAGTGTAGTGGTATCCTTTTGAGCTTCATCAGAAGTATTATTCTTGGGAGAGGTTGTGAAATGTAGTAACGTATGATGTCGACGTCCACATTTTTTGCAGTTTGTACTCTGTCTGCAATTGAACACCGAGTGACCTTTGACCAGGAAATTGAAACATATATTGTTTTTCTTTATAAAATCCTGGCGTTCAGAAACCGTTACTGCAGAAAACTCTTTACAGTGGCAAATGTAATGATTCTGTGAGCAGTAAGTACAAGTGCTTTCGACTTCTGTAGCAAAGCTTTTAACTGTAGTTATTTTTGGAGTATGTTGAACAGAATTCGGTGCGTCTTTTCTAAATGTTTCTCGAGGTTGTGAAAGATCGACCATTTCGATTGTTCGGAATCGTTTTTCTAGGAAGCTGTTTAGGTTGTCATATGTGGGAATATTTGTTGAGTTTTCTAACGACTGTTCCCAAAGCTTGTGAGATTCAATGTCTAACCTTGAGACTAGAATATGAACGACTATTGCATTCCATGAATCAATCTTCAAATTTTTTAGAGATGTGAGACATTGGCTAGTAGTGTCTAGTAAATCTTTGATACCTTTTGCTGATTCAGTTCTCAAAAATCGATTTAGAATATTATTTACAATCACTTGCTTATTCTCATATCTTTCATTTAGTTTTTTCCATGCATCATCATAGTTCGCTTCAGTTAAAGAATAATTTTTGAGTAACTGTTAGGCTTCTCCGGTTAAACTAGATTTCAAATAATGATGTTTTTCGATTTTAGACAAGCGGTCATCACAATGTATCAAGGAAAGAAATAGATCTCTGAAGCTCATCCACTGACTATAATCACCCGAAAATTGTGGTATAGCTATCGGTGGTAGCTTTGGTCTAGGTTTAGGAAGTTCTGAAGTCGGGTCAGATTTTGAAGATTCACTCATTGGTGTAATATCATAAAACGTATCCTTTAGCCAAGTCTTTAAGTCCAAATAATGTTCCTCTGTTTGTTCAAAATTATCATCAATATCGAAATCATATTCGGTTTTCAATGTCTCACTATCCAATGATACAGTAAGCAAATCATAACTTTTTGTGTAAAAAGCCCAATATTCATGTAATGTCTCCATGCGCGTATCTAAATAACCTCTTGTTCGTTGATCCTTTGAACATTTCTTCGTATTTGTAAGTAATTTCTCGATTTTAGTTGAATTTTGAATCATAATAGCTACATGAATGCATGATTGTAAAAACCCACCTCCGACCACTTTTTCCGAAATACTGTTTATGGTGGATTTATATTCTCTATGGCAAGACAAACTGTTTGAGTGTAGAATTACACCTCAGTCACGTAAGTATCCCACAGTTATAGCGGCACGAAAATTTCACTGAGCGTAAAAATCCACCTTATCCTGGATGAGGTGTTTTTTACAACCAAACATGTGGCAACACTTGAAACTGACAGCTGTCAATATTGACATTTTTAACCTTAGTTTCGTTAGTTTGAACAACTGAGGTGACTGTAACGGACACAAATTACTTGTATTACACAAATTAAATTAAATTTTACTGCTTAATTGTGAAAATGAGTGCTGAAACGAAGGATAATGTAATTTATTTAAACCCAGGTGAGTCTTCCTCGGGTGAAACGCGTACAAAAAAACGACGTGATAACTCTGCTGATTATTCTCGGAATAAGATCAAACAAGCACGTATTCATGGGCAGGCTTATGTGACGGCAAAAAATAAAACTGTACGGGCTAAGACAATAGGACCTCCATGCAAGTGTGCTAAAAATGCTGGGAAATCATATCCAAAAAATGCAAAATTAGAAAACCTTGCAAAATTATATAACTTGGGGACAAAAAATGAACAAGATATCTATCTCCAGGGGTTAATATCCTGTACGGACGTAAAACGACGCCGAGTGCTGAAGGATATCCCATTGAGACAGAAAATGTTTACATACACCGTTCAAGTTTGTAATGAAAAGAAAGAAGTATGCCATTCTGCTTTTCTTAGCTTGTTTGGTATTACTAAAGACCGTGTTAAGAGGCTCCGTGACTTGTTGGTTTTAGGTAAAATACCGGAAGATAAGAGAGGGAAATCGAAAACGGTCAATGCGTTGTCTGGTGATGAAATTACCGCAGTGATCTCTCATATATCCTGTTTTCCAGCAAAAGAGAGCCACTACTCTTCTGGCATAGTAAAGTATCTGCCTGCTGACTTATCAGTAAAAAAAATGTTTCGACTTTATAAGGAAAAATACCCTGGAACTAGGATTAAGTACGAATATTATAATAAAATATTCAGGGAGAACTTCGCTCTTCGCTTTGGACGACCAGCAGTAGATACGTGCTGCCTCTGCGAGAGTCTGGACCTGAAAATCAATTCGAAAACCCTAAATAACGTAGCTAAAAAGGTAGCTTTGGCCGAAAAGCTAGTACACAAGAAGAGGGCAAAGAAGTTCTATAATAAACTTCAAGAAGCAAGGCAAAGATCCCAAAAAGATGAAACGTTTTTGGGAATTTGCTACGATTACATGCAAAATGTGTCACTGCCAATAATTCCAGTGCAAGAAATATTTTATTTGTGGCAACTGAGCGTTTCTATCTTCTGCATTCACAATTTGAAAACGGGAAAAAAATGTCCTGTACGTATATCATGAAGGGCAAGCAAAGAAGGGACCGAACGAAGTATGTTCGTTTATTATGACATACATTAAAGAGTACGTCGACAAAAAGGTGATAGAACTAATGCTCTTTTCTGATAACTGCGCGGGGCAGAATAAAAACAATACAGCAGTACGAATGAATATGGCCCTAGTTGACAGTGGGCGTTTTAAAAAAATTCAACAGATTTTTCCGATGCGTGGCCATTCTTTTCTGCCGTGTGATAGAGCATTTGGGATTATAAAAAGAAGCCTTCGTCGTAAAGAGAGGCTGTACAGTGTACAGGAATTAATGAAATTAATCGTATCTTCGAGCAGGCAGAGTGATTTTTTTACAGTTCACTTAGTCAGCGGAGAGCATGTGACCGAGTTTAAAAAATGGTGGGTTCAACATTTCAAAAAGACTGCACTATCCCTTGAAACAAAGGATCGACGAATTCCGAGAACGGAGAAAGTAAGCTTCAGTATCTCAAAGTTCCATCACCTCACATTCAAAAAGATCGGCTGTGATGTGCCGGTAAAAGCGCAGGAATTCATTGATGGACTGACAAAGCATACATTTTTGTTGAAGATAAGACCACAGATTACCGTATCGCTACCGAATGAACCTGCATATGGACCAAGGCAGCTCTGCATTAATGCAAAGAAGATGCAAGACCTGAAAAAATGCGTTCAGTTTGTGCCTGAAGACGAAAAAATTAAATTCTGGGACGAAATATTGCAGTGGCCAACAGCTGAAAATGTCGAAGATGAAGAATTGGATTAATTCTGTTAGTTTTTTATGAAAATAAATATTATGAAACATTCGTACAAATTGGACTTTGATTGTAAAAACACACTTTGTACATGATGACTGTAAAAATCCACCTCATCCCAAAACTTTAAAAAAATCAAATAAAAAAATCTATGAATATATTATACACCCACTTTTTAACATACCATATATTAAATATTTTTCAACATAACTAGTAAAAAAAATAAAAACATGTTCTTCAGTTTTTTTTTACATCAGACAGTTTTCATTGATTTTCTGAAACTTTTGCATTTGGTCTGAGGTGGGTTTTTACAATCATGCATTCACATGTTGTTTTGCAAGTTGATCCGCCATATTGAATGATATTCGGAAATGTAAATTGATGAAAAAGTTTAATTTAGATAAATATCACTATTTCAACGCAGATACTAAATGTTCATCACTCAATGTTATGTTTGTTTGGTAAGTTCAAATCTACTAAGTCTATGTAAAAAAAGGAGCAAATTTTTCTCTCAAGCAAGTCTTTTTTGTTAAGAAATTTTTCAAAGTCTTATCACACAAATTCAACAAAGTCTTAGTAGAGTAAAGTGTTTTTATTACGCGAAATCGGCGGAAAGTCTTTTTTATTTTTACTCTTTGAAATAACACAAGTCTTAGACGCACTGTTATTGCACTATGTTCGACACTTGCACTTTACTTACAGTTTACTTTATTCGGCAGCAGAAGGACCATTTGGTTAATGAAACACTCACACACCACTACACTGTATTATAGGAACACACAAGGAGGCTAAAAATGTTTAACTATACATCATAATTAAAATCCAAATGATACCGCGTTTAACTCAGCGATAGTGCCATCTAGGGAGAGCAGGAAGAACTAAATTTACTTACAAAGTTTGTTAGCTAAACAATAGGTTTTTCTTCTCTCTTTTCCTTAATTGCACACCAAATGTTAACTACCTTATCTTAGAACTTAGTGTGTTAATAAATAAATAATATAATGTCATTTAGTCCTAAAAGTGGCTCAATAAGTTTAAAATATTGTAAAAGTTTAGTTGAAGCACTGACCTCTATATATATACTATATAAGTACGCTGGACTGGCTATATCATAGAAAACTCTTGACTCTTCTAAGCGGCTTTGAAGGAGGCTCGCGTTCGCTAAAGGATGTCTTATGTTAAGCCAAATAAAAGTTGGGTAGGCACATAAACGCAGCCGTGCGTTATGCTGCAACATCCCTCCCACCTTTGGGGTGCAAAAAAAAAAAGAGTCTGTTGTCTCATTTATATTCTCTTATTTAATAGGTCCGTATTTTGAACCTTTAAACTAAAAAACGGAAGTATTTTATGTTGTTTGATTGTGTATAATATTAGTTACATAATAAGAATTATTTTTACTAATAATGAGAGTGTGCGTAATCTGTAAAACTCTTTACCAAAAGGGATGTGATATAACATTTCACAAGTAACTGAATTTGCAGCAAATATTAAACAAATTAAAACCATTTGATTATATAAGTACTTAAAAATTTGTTACTAATCCTAATATTATATATAACAACATCTTTGGCTATATATTACTGAGTTTTGATTAACAATAAAATTCAATAGGGTTGTCGAGGTCCTTGTCTATGATACTTATCGATGTTCTTTCCTACCCATATCTGTTAACAAACAAAGTCGCCAACAACAGTTGATTATCAAATGTTTATTAATTAACAGGTTTCCAATTGAACCTAGACTAAAAATATGGCTTAAAAGCATAAATATTGTGAATTGGCGTCCGAAACAAAATGATCATATTTGTTCCAAACATTTCACAGACGACTGTTTTATTAGACATGAGAACTGCACCACTTTGAAAAAGTGCAGTATACCGACAATATTTTCTGGTAGTACCAGTACCAGTAAGTATAAAAGTATTAGATTATTATTTCGAATGTTTTTTTTTTATTTCTTCTTCCCTTATTTTCCACCAAACTCAAGGGCCATATCCAAGTGTCGAAAGGTCACCTGATGATGTCGAGCCACGTTGTATGTGTTTTAGTGGGCTGCGGCTAGAAGAGATTCCTCTCCCTGTACCGCTGTAGTCGAGGTGGAGTCGTAAGGGAAGAGGAGTGTTGGTATGGCGATTGGCGATGCGCCACTCGACTATCTTTTGCGACTTTGGTGAGGCTGCACCACTTGATGCTTTCAAGTGCTCATTTTTCCCTGGCTGGAGTTAGTAGAGGACTCGAAGGGCAGTGTGGCTTGCTTCTGGTGCGCCTTATCTGAGAATGAAAACGGGGAGGAGAAGTCAGCAACTAAGGAGGGGCCGCCATTTGGCGGCTGGCGGCGGACGGGCCGCGGATGTGCATGAAAGCATTTCCGTAGAACTGCCAATTTGCGGCGGAGGTAGAACACCATGAGGTTTTAGTAAGTGCGAGTCTAGAGATTTAATTATCTCTAGAGTCTCAAAATTTAATTTGTGCCTTAACTTCATAGTGCCCTACATGCCCTTCATAGCGCCCTACTTTAGTTTCCTTCTTATTCACAAATACTTGCCATCGTTTACATTCATGGTTTTTGGCAGCTTCCTCTTGCGCAACATCCATCGACAAAGATAATCAAGTGTTCGATCAAGAACCCATGGATTGCGATACGTCAAGTCCCCCAGAATATGTGGCACTGCCGAAGCTGGAAAGCTTAGGAGCTAGTGCAATATGCGCCGATAAAGGTGATCCGTATTTTGATCTCAAAACTATGGAAGTAGGTACGTTGCTGCCTCCAGAATACATGGAGCTGCCCGAGATTGAGAGCCTGGAAAGTTCTTCTTTTTTATGTTGGTATCTTGATTTTTCTTTTATTTTTTATTACAAGCAAACCGTGGCAAATGTCATGTGTAATTTTCTTAATTGTTGTTTTTTCGTGTTATTTATCAATATAAATTTGGTATATAGGTCGGAACACAAGTTGCTACCGGGAACAGACTGTCGCTTCAAAGAAGGTTTTGTCTATTTCTGAAGTACGTAATAATATCAAGCATGATCATCGTTATGAATACTCCCCTAGATCATCCAAAAAAACATGGGAACGAGTTCAGAAATCTTTGAAAAACACACGAGCTCGTGTAAAAGTCCTATCGCAACATGTGAAACGATTAAAGGTCAGCATTACTTGTTTAAGAAATGTAATTATTGAATTAAAGAGAAGAAAATTAATTAACGATGACTGTGCAAATCTATTAAATCTGTATGACGACTTCAAGCCATAATTGTTTAAAAGAATGATATTAAATACTGGTAAAAATGTCTGCCGTGCTAAGTATCCCCCGGAATTAAGAGCTTTTGCTATTACTCTCCATTTTTACTCACCAAAAGCATACGCTTTCGTCAGAAAAAAGTTTAATATAGCATTACCACATCCTCGGGTAATAGGCTCCTGGTATAGCTCTGTAGATTCGAATCCGGGGTTCTTAGTTGAAAGTTTTAATGCTTTACTACTTAAAAGTAACCAAGCAAAACAGAATGGAGAAACACTAATTTGTGCTTTGATCATAGACGAAATGAGCTTAATAAAAAGTTGCTCTCGCAGCCGTGATGGTGTAACGCGTGGTTACGTTGATTTTGGCATTGATTCAGAATGTAATGATTTACCTGATTGTAAGGACGCATTGGTTTTTATGATTGTTCCGTTAAAAGGCAATTGGAAAATACCAATCGACTATTTTGTTGTTAATGGGTTGCCTGCTGAAACAAAGAGTGCCTTAATTAAACAGGCTTTAATTCGCTTGCACGATGTTTCAGTAAAAATATGCTCCATAACTTTAGATGGACCACCAGAGCATTTTTCTACGGTAGCTAAACTAGGGGTAATGTTGAAAGCAGGAAACGACACTAAACCTTTCTTTTATCACCCAATAGATAAGAACCACAAGATTTATGTAGTATTTGATCCCTGTCATATGCTTAAAAATATAAGAAATTGTTTAGATGACTTAAAGATTTTAAAGGATCACGAAGGGAATTTAATAAAGTGGGAATATATTGAAAATTTGGCAGCATTGCAGGAATCTGAGGGCCTGAGTTTAGGAAATCGACTAAGGAGTTCGCATATACATTATAAAAAAATTATAATGAAAGTTTATCTTGCAGCTCAAACGCTTAGTAGCAGTGTAGCAGATGCAATTGAATTTTGCGACACTATTTTACAACTTCCAGAATTTAAAGGTTCAGCTTCAACAGTTAGATTTATAAGAGCAGTTGACCGTATTTTTGATTTTTTGAATGTAAGAAATCCATGGATGTGTGGATATAAAAGTCCACTCAGGACTACAAACGAGAAAAGGTGGAGGTCTAAAATAATGGAGGAAATTAATTACCTTAGCAAAATAAAACTACATGATGATAGATTGGTGGTACAATCACGCCGTAAAGCAGGTTTTTTGGGGTTTTACAATGCAGTTATTTCTGTTCTTCATATTTACGACAGCTATGTTAAAGCAGATAAGCCTGAACTTAATTACTTGTTGCCGTACAAGTTAAGCCAAGATCACTTAGAATTATTTTTTGTGCGATTCGTAGCCGAGGTAGTTGGTGTCAAAATCCAACCGCCGCTCAGTTTGTAAACGCATTTAAGCAATTGTTAATTCACCATGAAATAACTAATTCCACGGGTAATGTCCAGGGAAACGACTTATCAATATTAGCTGTATCTTCTGGTTCTTCAAAAGGGGCTAAAATCAACAAATTTAATGTAGATGACTATAGAAATGCTGAAAATATACATACAATAAAAAAATATCGTTTAGAAGAAATAGATTCGCCAACCCTGCATGATGAAATATGTGAATTTTTACACCTGTTTTGGGCAGTACCTGACTCAAACGTAAACGAAACGTCTAAACAGTGTGTAAGATATATTGCAGGATTTGTCATTCGAGCGATACGAAAGAAAACTAGATGTGACGATAGCTTACACGACACGACACGAAGCTTGATAGCTTGCGAATCTGTACCACAAGATCCTGTGAGGAATCGCAGAAATGGTATTGCTCTCGTTGTACAAAAAACGAGGAGTGGTTTAACTATGCCTTCTACAAATGTGGTAAATATTTGTTTATTTGTTGAGTCATTATTCCGCCATGCTGTTAAAAATAATAATGGTAAACCTCCGATAGAACCAAATTTTTCTGCAGTATTAACTACAAAGGTACTAAAAGATCTTATAGTTAAAACGGTAATATTGTTTCCTGATCTACAATACCATTTTAAGGACACTTTGGTTTCAGATAATTTTACTAGCCACTTTCACATTCTAGTAAAACATATTATCATCAAATATATAGAAATGCGTCTGTATGCTGCTACAAAAACTTATTCCCTGTACATTACAGGCGATAAAGTACGTAATTTTTTGTCTCGTCAAATTATTTGGGCTCGTCAGTGATATAATAATAATAATAATATTACATTCCATTACAGCCTATAAAAGTCAACTGCTGAAAATAGGTCTCCTTCGTAGATTGCCTCATGGGGAATTTTGTTTTAGTTGCCAGTTGCCACGCTTGGCAAGCGGGTTGGCAACCACGGTTTTGTATTTTTAGTCGTTATTAGGAAGACGTTGCTGACCATCTCCTGTTCCAGTTTTCCTCTGTCGCGTCTTACGACACTCTCAGGGTGATATGGGCCAGTGGAAATTCTTACACCACCACTACATGGAGTAACAACTTTTACATAAGGAAATATTAAAATAGTTTACTTCCTTTTCTGCTTAAGAGTAGTTCCTAAAAAACTGTATCTGCGACTGATCATCGCTGCTGGTAATAAGAAGTTGTTTAGTTTGTTGTTTCCTCGCTTGAAGGCTAAGTATAGCCATTCAGAGAGTCCACGTAGCCAGCATTCTTGGGACTATACCACGGAAAGTAGGATATCGTTATTTTAATTTCGATAATGACGTTGTAAATAACTGATAACTATGTAATTCAAAGTTTATATATTTTTTTATATTATCTTGCTAGCTCGTAAATATCGTTAAAAACTTGGAACAGTTATATTATATAATTCGGAATGATAATACAATCATTGAAATAGAATGATATATAACTTTCTGTAACTTTCAAATAAATAGTCATGTAACACGCATGTAATGCGTAGTGTCAGTTAATTGTAACATGCATATAATCTTCGCACAAGTGCAACCAATAAGTTGACAAAGTTTTACCGCAATCTGATGAACGGCATGGCATCGTAGAAAGTACGAGCAAACATAAATTTTTATATAGTAGAAAATATTTTACTGTCTATAGACAGACCTGTAGTTGATTAGAATAGGCGTTATTATAGCAGCTGATTTGTTTTTTACAATACTAGAACTAAATGAACGGTTGACAATAAATTATTTTAGAAATTATGTTTTTATTTTTATTTTGTGCAGTTAATTTAATCTTAATAATTTTTAGTTGAATGGTAGACCATTCTACAATAACTACAATAGCTATCCGAGTACAGAACCAGAGTATAAACTAATACAACTGTAGAGATGTGCAAGACAGGGTGACGTAATATCCCCGAAATACTTTACCGATTCATTGGAAGACTCAAGCTACTGGGCTGGAAAGGATATGGTATTAACGTCAATGACGTGTACGTCACTCACTTTCGATTTGCTGACAATATAGTCCTTATGGCAGAATCGCTGGAGGACCCACGCACTTTGTTCAATGACCTCAATAGTGTCTCCTAACGGATAGGTCTTAAGATGAACATGGAAAAAACAAAAGTCATGTGTAATGTCCATGTCACACCTATGCTGGTGGTTTTTGGGAGCACTTAGCTGAAGTTGTTGACGAGTATTTTTACTTGGGAGTCCGACTAGGTAAGTTCAACCTCGACCGACAGGTCAATCGACGGATTCAACTCGGCTGGGCAGCGTTCGGGAGATTAAACACATCTTCTCGTCAGGAATACCTCAAAACTAGATTGTACAACCAGTGCGTGTTGCCAGTTTTGACCTATGGATCTGAGACGAGGTCTTTCACTGCTGGCCGTATGAGGAAGCTCGAAGTCGCTCAGTGAGCTATGAAGAGGGCTATGCTCAGGAGTTAAAACTTAGGAATGAGTATATCTGCAGCAGAACAAGAGTGACCGACATCGCCCAATAGATTAGTAAGCTGAAGTGGTAATTGACCGGCCATATAGCTCGAAGAACCGAATATCGATGGGGAAAAAAGGTTTTACTATGCAATCGTACCAGCAGGTGAAGTGTAGTACGTTCCCCCACTAGATGGAGTCAAAACCTGGTAAGACATGCAGGAAGCTGATGGATGCAGGTGGCTCAGGACCGTGCTTTGTGGCATTGCTTGGGGGAGGCCTATGTTCAGCAGTGGACTTGTGAAGGGTTTTAATGATTATTAATGATTATTGCATTATATTAATATGATACATATATAGAATGGACGTTACGGGTACATCTATCCATAGAGTCCATTCTATTTATTTAGGTATGTTACTGTATAGAATTTTTATCGATATAATTTGGTACTCTCTGATCCCTATTATTAGTTCCGTGGACGTGCACTTTTGCTATCAGCGCCAAAATGGCGGAAATCAAATCGCTTCATCATGTCACGTCTATAGCCAGTCCAGCGTACTTGTATATATAGCGGTCAGTGAGTTTAAGGCACTTTCTGTTTTTAGTTATTGTCACGAGCTTAGGGTTCGTGACAATTAAAAACTGCCGATTGAATTACCAAAATTTACACTTTAATTCACTTTGCACTAATTAAAACTTAAAAGACACTAATAATTAATCACACTGATTCACTTTATTTCGCTCCGAAGCTTCGCTTGTCTCGCCAAATTCAATACTTCCCCGATCGTGGCATGCTGCGGGTTTAAATACACTTTTACACCGAAACATCCAGAATATTCAAGTAAATACGCGCGCCAACCGACCAGGCGCCGAAAGTTCGAGAGTAGGGCTTCTAGAAAGCTTAGTTCTTAAATTCGATACTAGATGGCACTGTCGGTTGAAAGATTAGTCATGTCATTTTCTGGAAAGCTCTCCTCGCTCTGTTACCCGACACTTACTAAAAAATCTTTGTTACTATCTTTTTACATTACTGTTTGTTGCCTTAAATCATTTTTTTAAAAAGCTCGAGGCGTGCGAGAGAGACAACCTTACGAGGGGAAACCATTGATTTAGCTAATAAGACTGACCAAATTCTCACCATCATTCTGGACGTGAAAATATACAACGCCCCCGTAAGCTTTCTCGCTAGTGTCTGCAAGACCAATGACAGTAACGACGCTATTCTTACTGCTATTTACATGACGTGGTATTTTAATTTCACTTAGTAAAAAGATTTCCTCTCTAAAGCTTAGCCACGGACGAACAATGTTATCAGGCGGTGTGTAATCCCAATCAAATTCACACAACCAAAGTTATTTAATCAAAGGCTTAGCATTGTAGGCTTAGCATGGTATACAATAGGTATATATAATAAGGTGCTACAAACCCCATGACATCCTATAATCTAGCAACACGATAATATCGTGCGCCTTGTGCAAATCTCAGCGGGCGTTTTTACCTTAAGGCTAAACACATCTGACTCAGGCGACCAACACAAACCGAGCACCTTGTGCGAATCAGAATCGTAAAATTCCTTTACAGACGAAAGACAATGTGACAGTGAGATTGTATTCAATTCTATTCAATATTGTACACTAATTACTCGTCGACTTGATGAGATCGAATTGACCTTCTTTCATGAGTTTTATAACTTCAGCGATGGTTACGATGGCTTCCTCTTCATTATCGACTGAGTATACGAAATTGTCCATTTTTGGACCACTCTCAATTGTCTCCCTCGGAAGCTGTTTTGTGAAAATTGTTGTATTCTTTATAGTTCCGATTTATTCTGTTCTGCTTTATAGTTATGATTATGATATTGTTATGATTTTATTCTTTATAGTTCTCTGAAGTCGGCTGTCACTTTTATCGAAATTTTTTTTTGTTACTTTTTAAGTGGACTAACGCATATCAAAATCTCTATGTAATCTGAATAGTTACTTCAAAAACTTTATACCCTATTTTACCACCAGCGTAGAATGTTTTCTCCAAACCTCTATATGGGACCACCCCTGAATTACAAACTATTTAAAAAAAGAGAAGTATCAAAATCGGTTCACAATTTACGAAGATATCCCGTAACATACGTACAAAAAAAGATACAGTCGAATTGTAAAGATACTTTTTTGAACTCTGCTAATGAGTTCTAATACCGCCCAGTACTACGTAGATATTAACATAGTCTATGTTAAAATGGCGAACAAGATAGGAAAATGAGGACTAATAATCTTCCGCTCACTAGATGTCGCTAGTTGCGTCCGAAGTGAAATTATTTGTTTGTGTATACAGTGTCGCCCTATGCGAAATGTTACGTCGGTTTCTAGTGTATCTATCTATCTACACAAAATACCTTAGTGGCTGTGTGCTATGTGGGTGGTCTTTAATTTATTGCACATTTTTAACTTTTTAATTTTAACTTCCCCACCGTGATATCCGTCAAATATTTAACCTCATTTCTAAGTAGCGCCGCACCGTCCTAGTGGCTGAAAAAGCTGTGGATGCCCTGATGCATCGATGAAAGAATCGCAAGATACTAAGAACGCGGCATAGCCCATTCTTAATAGTTCTTCGACATATTTTTGGATAAATAATAAAAAACATAAACTTAAAAAGAAAACTTTTATTTACACAGATTTAAATAATAACTCGGAAATCAATCTCCTAACCTTGTCAATTTCCTTATTTTCTCCTCATTTGTGTAAATACACAAATCCATAAAGGTTATCGCGAGAAGTAGACAATGTCCCAACATATCCTTCTGCAATTCTTTTTGCGAACGGTACATTGACGTAAGATTATCAGGTACATGCACGTGCGAATTATCAGAATGTATTTCCTTCGCTTTGTCTAACAACATTTCTACTGTTTGATCAGTTGAAACTCTTTCATTGCCTACTAAGGTTCCATATAATCTGAAACAGCGTAACTTGTAAAAAAATAATCAATTAGGCACACATCTGTTGGCAAAAACGCGCGAACTAAGCAAAACTACTATTTTTAGTAGAAGAAACTAAATATCTCACTTTTACCGTTAGAGTGCGTTACAATCAATATTTGCATTAAATTGTAATTGTAAATATGATAAAAAAAACAAATAAATTAAATATTAACAAAAGTTAAATATTAATAAATGTTTAAAAAATTATTATCAATTTATTGAAAATGATTTATTTATTTATAACACCAACAGAAAAAACATAAAACATAACATAAACACTCAAGCCTGTCACCCAGAGGGATAGGCAGAGACTACGGACTTCCATTTGGCACGATCCTGACATACCTCTTTCGCCTCCTTTACATCCATGTATCTCTACGCATACATGCTCGTCGGTTAAGGGTACTTCTAACGTGGCCCATTTTCAAAATATCGCCAGTTTGGTCGATAAACTTGTTTCTAGGGCGTCCCTTACCGATTCTGCCGTTCACATCTGCCATATAAATTTGCTTTGTCACTCTTTTCTCATTCATTCTTTCTACATGACCAAACCACCGAAGCATTCCTTTCTTAATCCTGGTCACAACATCATATTGCATACCACATTTATCTCTTATCACGCAATTTCTCACCCTGTCATTCAAATTCAACCCTAGCATACTCCTTAAAGGCCGCATTTCTACAGCATTTATTCTACTTTCGTGCTTCTTCTGCCACACCCAGCTTTCACTACCATACATTAAAGTAGGGACTAACAGAATTATGAATTACCATACGTGCCTTTTTTGACACATTCTGGTTCTTCATAATAGAGTGTAGTGCCCTTTCATTCTCACATTCCCATTCACTCTATTCCCTGCATTTACTCGTCGTTCTATATCCCTATCATATCTACCATCCCTGCTAAATACACATCCCAAATACACAAACTCATCCACTTGCTCAATTAACTCTCCTTCTATTCTTATTTCACATACCGTTTTGCTTTCTTCTCTTTCAAAAACCATCACTTTCGTCTTACTTGCGTTCACTTTCATTCCCCTTTCTTTTAATGCCCAGTTCATTAATGTAACCATCATTTGCAACTCAGCCGCCGATGATGCAAATATGACTTGATCATCGGCACAAAAGGCATTTGACGGTTAACTCGCCCATTATTAACCCACATTCTTCATCTTTCAAAGTTTTCAAACACCTGTCCATAAATAGGTTGAACAGCCAAGGGGAAGCTACAAAGCCCTGTCTGACACCTTTTTGGATGCCAAACCAGTCCGAGTAGACCCCATTGATCCTGACACAAACACTAGAATCCCTATAAAGAGACACAATTGTTTGCCATAACACATTCCTGTCCACTTAATAATTGATAACACCAACAGCTTTCATAAATTTTACTTATATAAATTTTAAATCTATTAAAATGTATTCCTACGTGAAATTACATTAAAGTTGGTCATAATATTATATTGGTTATTAATTTATTTCAGTTAATAGAGAATAAAATTACCTGTATGGGAGTGAAGACCTAAGAAAATACACTCTTTGATTTAAGTTGCTAACAGGTTCCTCTTTGGTAGGACTGAAATTGAAACATAATTGAAAATTAACGTTTATTTGTGAAAAAGTTGTCTATATTATTATTTCGAACCACCTACTAACCTATGACTTCAGTTAGGTTATGGGAGCTAGTATAATTACAGGGGTATTCAATTATTGATTTCAGGGGTGACGAAAATCTAACGGCGCCTCTACACGTTGGCCAACACAGTGGCGAAGCATTGGCTAACGGCGCCTCTACACGTTGGCCAACACAGTGGCGAATGTAGTGGCCAATAGCATTGGCCAACGTGTAGACGGGGTGTTTGGGCTTCATTGGTATGTATTGGAACGATGGCCCGCAAGTTGGCGCGAGATCCGTGTGGTGTCGGTTTTTAAAAAAAGATCAAAGGATTGTTGGCAGAGTTTGGTCGCCGCGTCCACACGTTGGCCGCGCGTTTAGTTTGCTACAAGCTCCCAGAGTGATTACACGCATCTGATTTAAATTTTATATTCACGCTTTGTAGGGTGGATGACCCAATTACCAGCCTTTTAGTGCCAATTTCCACTTTAAACATTCCTACTACTTTAATTAGCGCGATTTAATTATTTTTAAACATTTGTTTTAATCGATAAGCTATTTATAAAAAAAATAATGTACATTTACTTACAATCAGATTATTACGAGAACAATTTTAAAATGAAAAAAAATGAAGCACTTCGTTTATACGTGGTAGAACCATGCAGTTATATTAGAAGTATAGTTGTAGCACGAATGGGTCGGTTCGACCGGGGAAGGACCACGCTCTCACAGAATATCAATGTAAAATAGTAGCTTAATGATGCTGTGTTTCGTATAGTTTGTGTAGAGAACCAGAGACACTTTTTAAAGGTAACGAGGCATTTCATCTTAGTCCTCACGGGTGACAACGCATCTGCATCTTGATTCGTAATCGAGGATAGATGTAGATGTCTATTGCCTACAGCAACCACTTACCATCAGGTGAACTGTGTGCTCGTTTGTCACCCTATCCTATATAAAAAAGAGTCGATTTCTTATAATTTAATCATGCAAGTTTTCGAATCATCATCATCATTGCAGCTCTTCATAAGTCCACTACTGAACATCCTCCTCCACAGACTGCCGCAAAGCATGGTCCTGAGCCACTTTGCTCGTCATGAGTTTTGCATTTATGTTCTAAGTTATAATTAGTACCTATTATTAAGTGAGTGTTAATTATATTTATTGCTATTGTTTTTGTCTTTCTCAAAAAATAATTAAATTACCAAATAAATTATAAGGTGTTTTTTATGTACATCAAATGTCTGATAGAAATGCAAGTACATATTTTGCTAAACTTTAAAATCAAAACCCAATTTTAAAACATAGACTAATCGATTATAACTCCTTTAACTTTAAAATAAGTTAAGTTCTTATTAATGGTTTTTATTCCAGTTTATGATGCATGTAAAGAATAAATAAAGCTAATCGTATATTGTATATCTATTTACAACCCCATTAATATCCACTATTATTTTATAATTCTTTTTTAAAAATGTTAACCCCACACTAAGATTTTCACCCGTATCGCGCAGGCAGTTTACAAACATAAATTGCACAAGGACACACATCCAGACCCGAAACAATTATTTGTAGGACATACAAATACTTGTTCCGTGCGGGATCAAACCCGCGGCGCCCGGCGCAGCCACTCATTGCTGAGCCCCTGCGCCACGGTGCTTATAAATTCGTCCGCACATTGGCCCGAACCGAAGTTAACTGAACGATCTTCCAACGTGTGGACGCCGTCACCAACTCTCGGCCAATATATTCGCCACTCCATTCGCCACTGTGTTGGCCAACGTGTAGAGGCGACATAACGTGTAGACGGGGTGTTTGGGCTTCATTGGTATGTATTGGAACGATGGCCCGCAAGTTGGCGCGAGATCCGTGTGGTGTCGGTTTTTTACAAAAGATCAAAGGATTGTTGGCAGAGTTTGGTCGCCGCGTCCACACGTTGGCCGCGCGTTTAGTTTGCTACAAGCTCCCAGAGTGATTACACGCATCTGATTAAAAATTTATATTCACGCTTTGTAGGGTGGATGACCCAATTACCAGCCTTTTAGTGCCAATTTCCACTTTAAACATTCCTACTACTTTAATTAGCGCGATTTAATTATTTTTAAACATTTGTTTTAATCGATAAGCTATTTATAAAAAAAATAATGAACATTTACTTACAATCAGATTATTACGAGAACAATTTTAAAATGAAGCACGTCGTTTATACGTGGTAGAACCATGCAGTTATATTAGAAGTATAGTTGTAGCACGAATGGGTCGGTTCGACCGGGGAAGGACCACGCTCTCACAGATATCAATGTAAAATAGTAGCTTAATGATGCTGTGTTTCGTATAGTGAGTGTAGAGAACCAGAGACACTTTTTAAAGGTAACGAGGCATTTCATCTTAGTCCTCACGGGTGACAACGCATCTGCATCTTGATTCGTAATCGAGGATAGATGTAGATGTCTGTTGGCTACAGCAACCACTTACCATCAGGTGAACTGTGTGCTCGTTTGTCACCCTATCCTATATAAAAAAGCATCGATTTCTTATAATTTAATCGTGCAAGTTTTCGAATCATCATCATCATTACAGCTCTTCACAAGTCCACTACTGAACATCCTCCTCCACAGACTGCCGCAAAGGCATGGTCCTGAGCCACTTTGCTCGTCGTGAGTTTTTCATTTATGTTCTAAGTTATAATTAGTACCTATTATTAAGTCAGTGTTAATTATATTTATTGCTATTGTTTTTGTCTTTCTCAAAAAATAATTAAATTACCAAATAAATTTTATAAGGTGTTTTTTATATACATCAAATGTCTGATAGAAATGCAAGTACATATTTTGCTAAAGATTAAAATCAAAACCCAATTTTAAAACATAGACTAATCGATTTTAACTCCTTTAACTTTAAAATAAGTTAAGTTCTTATTAATGGTTTTTATTCCAGTTTATGATGCATGTAAAGAATAAATAAAGCTAATCGTATATCGTATATCTATTTACAACCCCATTAATATCCACTATTATTTTATAATTCTTTTATAAAAACGTTATCCCCACACTAGGATTTTCTCCCGTATCGCGCAGGCAGTTTACAAACATAAATTGCACAAGGACATACATCCAGACCCGAAACAATTATTTGTAGGACATACAAATACTTGTTCCGTGCGGGATCAAACCCGCGGCGCCCGGCGCAGCCACTCATTGCTGAGCCACTGCGCCACGGTGCTTATAAATTCGTCCGCACATTGGCCCGAACCGAAGTAAACTGAACGATCTTCCAACGTGTGGACGCCGTCACCAACTCTCGGCCAATATATTCGCCACTCCATTCGCCACTGTGTTGGGCAACGTGTAGAGGCGACATTAAGCAATCATATAGAGCCCATGGTATAGAGTGTAGAGGTAAGGATTACAGACTCTGTATAAAAGTGTCCGTAGAAAAGCGCTAAATAAGGGTGGCGCCACTGTAGCTAGTCTTAATTTTAAAGAACTTTTTATAATTTTATGTAGCTGCTCGAGCACTGTTGTGGAGAGTTTTTGAACTGATATTTACTGCTTACAGATGGACACATTTTCAACTATTCTCCTATGGGAGATTGTCCTCCTTACCTTTATACTCCATGGCCCATGGGTCTTTGGTCGCATAGGTGTCATCATGTAAAGTGTGACCTTATGTGATGGTACTTGGTGACCTTGGGTGATGGTATATATGTCGCAGCCAACTAGCTTAATCAGCCTTTCAGTTAGCCTAGCCTTTTAACTAAACGGCGCCGTACAAATAGCTGCTTATATCATATTCAGCCGCAGCGTTTTTCACAACATTTAATAAACTGGCCGGCTAAACTTAACGGCTTTGGCCATTCGTACGACAGGGTGAAACAGCGCCGTTCAAATAGCGGCCTGAATAATATTCAGCCCGTGCGTTTCAGTCGATGCGTCTAATATAACATTTTATGCTTAATTATGCACTGTACGCTAAATTATATAAATATAGGCGGATTTGTAAATATCGTTTATATTACAAGATATGTAGTTGTAATGTTGTATTAGACGCAGTGGTTGAATATCATTCAGACCTTATTTAAGCTAGTTGGCTGCGACAGCTTGTACTATTTTTCATTAAACTTTGGAAAACACCACCAAATATGTTGTTTGCCGACGCCATATTGACAGTTTGGAGAGTTTCAGCGCTAGGTGACAGAAAGTGGAACTAAATTGAAATAAACAGGCTAGGCAATATGGAGTGTAGAAGTAAGGAGTACAGACTGTGTATAAAAAAGTGTCCATAAAAACCTTTAAATAATGGTGGCGCCACTATAGCTACGGGGTACATTTTAAAGAACGCACCGAAAAATATTAGTGGGATAGACGACTTTTTTGAAGTTATATTTACTAAATAAAATTATTTTAGATTTCAGAGCTACTGATCAGTTTAGCAGCACACTTAAACCGGCTACAACTGCTAAGTTCATTTCATCCCAGTAGCTACTCCAGCGCTGTTGTGGAGAGTTTTTGAACTGTTATTTACTGCTTACAGATGACCACTTTTTCAACTATTCTACTATGGGAGTTGGTACTCCTTACTTCTACACTCCATACTAGGCAAGTAATGAAACGTCATCGATCCAAGTCATTTGCCTAGATGTTTGATCAAATGGCTGCTAGTTGAACGGTGTTGTTTAGTAAAGAGGCGGCATATATATTGGTGGTGAGGGTCTCTCTGCATGATAAAATCTATAATGAGAAAATCCACGGTCGGTCGGTAGCTTACTGCTAAAGTAGCATTGACTATAGCATACTAGATAGATCATATAATTATAACCAATAACTGACAACTATAGGAAACAAACACGTATCCACATAGTGGATATGATTGCCCACATGAGGGTTGCTTCCATATGATAGTAATAGAAACAGAAACTTTTATTCAATAAAGATTATAAATAGTTATAAATTATTGAATGTCACTCTTTTGTTTAATTATCACTGGTTCGGAAAAAAATCTCTGTCCTGGGAAGAACCTACAAGAAACCCTAGGCTTATTTTTAAATAACAGCTTACAATCATGTGTGTTACACAATTTATCAACACAAAACAAATTAGAAATAGCTTGGTAGCGATCACCTCATTCGCAGAGATTACTATCATCAATAAATTCCTTAGTAATATAATAACCCTTTTTATACAAACTTAGTTTAGTAAGGTTTTTGAACATTGAGAAGGTCGAATTTTGTATATTTTCTGGGATTTTGTTACGATTTTATGATTTTTATTTTACTACTTACAATTTTTTGTTATCGTTTTCTGGAATAATATCTTCACATGACTTCATTGGGACTTGTGGATCATAGTTATGTTTTGTGGCTATTTTTAGAGGAGGCTAGTTGGAATTGTACACCATTTTTAGAAATAATAACTAGAGATTGGCCGAATATTCGTTTTATATTCGGTATTCGGCATATTCGGCAGCTTTACCGAATATTCATATTCAGCAGAATAGCTATATCACCGAACATTCATTTTCATAGTTCATAGTTGAAATGCACGTATTGAGTAATGCGATGTCTTTTACTGTTGAAAGGTTCTTTATTAGTGATCGATGGTTGAAAGTATATTTTATTTATGGGTTAAATCTACTTACTCTAGAGTGCTCAAATGCATAAATCTATACATTTATGTTTTTGAGGCACCATGGATTTATTTCCGATTATAGCAAATAGAAACTTGACAAATTGTTTTTGGAATCAAACCAAGAAACATTACATTAATACATTTCACTTTACTTTGGTCATCAGTTTCTCTAAAATAAGTCCAAATAGTAAATCTTCTGCCGCTCATTTTATCATATTATTATCAATTTTCGCTAAGTATAAAATTCTTACGGCTCTTCTTCACCAAGAATAAAGAGCCGTGGTAGCTCAGATGGTTAGCGCTCACTGTATATTTCACAGTGCGCAAACAAACCGGGTTCGATCCCCGCCGGCACCAATGAAATTGTTAATTGCAATTTAAGTGCCGATTGACGTGCTCAGCAGTGAAGGAAAACATTGTGAGGAAACCTGCTTGTCTGAGAAATAAGAAAAAATATTTCGAAGACGTGTGAAGTTAGCCAACAAGCATATTGGGGCAGTACTGCGGATAATTCCTTGCCCTAAAACCCTCTCAAAAATGAGCAGAGGCCTGTGCCCAGGAGTGAGACGTATATATGCTGTAACTTTAACTAAGAATAAAACAACGAAATACTTTTTTATCACAAGAATAGTCAAAACATAAGCATGTGCAGGCAATTTGCTTAGTACTAGATGATGCAGTAACATGTCAGGTATGGCGGGGAGCGAGAGGCAGGGTCCGGCGATAATCCCGCGCGCTTTACGGTAACAAATTTCGACATAAATTGGTTAGGTCCCGAGGTTATCCTGCCGAATAATGTTCGGCCGAATATTCGGTTCGGTAAAAGATTTACCGAACATTCGGCCGAATATTCATATTCGGTGAAATCCAAATTCGGCCCATCCCTAATAATAACTATTGTTATTATATAATATAAAAAAGTAATTTGATGCTTTTTTTTATAATAATGTTGACAAACGAGCACACAGTCCTCCTAAGTGGATACCGTGGCCCATAGACATCTACATTTATCCTCGCTTAAGAATCAAAACGCAGATGTGTTGTCACCCCTGAGGACTAAGATGGAATGCCTCGTTTTCAGTAAAAAAGGGTCACCGAATCTCTACACTCACCATACGAAACACAACAGTATTAAGCTGCTATTTTACACTGGTATTCTGTGAGAGCGTGGTCCTTCCCCGGTCGAGCCGACCCAATCGTGCTGCAACCATAATATAGCTGCAGCGTGGCTCTACTACATTTAATATGACGCTGGTAGATGGTTGCTAATTCGGTGATCCTAGATAGTGGGACTTCCTCTCTGCCTAGGAGTTAGCTACCACCCTTTTACCCATTTTTGCCGCCAAAATGAAGTGCTTACACAACTATGTTCCAATCAGAAGGGTATAGAGAACCAGTGTAATTACATGCTGTGAGGCATACCAACTTAGCACTCAGCACAGATGTGACAATGCATCTGTAGCCATTTTTGTTTAAAGTTGGTTGTCAGGTGTCCATGTGCTGCAGTAACCACTTACCTTCAAGTACACTGAAAGTAGATTTGTCACTTTTTTATATAAAAATATTGGATAGATACTAAATATATTTTACCATAACTTTTTCAACTGTATAATCTACAAAGAAATATGTTGTAGATTTAATTGGAATTTGTATAAAGTATGTAGCAAATAATATGTCATATCTTTATTTGTCCAAATAACTGCTGGACATAGAACTTTTCTGTTGTAGAGAAGAATTGCCTTATTGTTACGCCTGGCAGGTAGATTAACAATTGCAGCACCACACAACGCACACCATTGACAATGTTAAAAATCCCATTAAACCCTAAAATTTTACTATCCCTAAATAAATTAAATGAAAACCTATGACACACATAACACCCAGTCATAGGGACCTATGATTGACTTGACATTAATAATCAAGAGGCCATAAATAATAAAGAAGCAGGAGAAATATATCATCCTATACTTACCAAACATTTATATTGTTATGCTTAGCATTAATTAGCGCAACAATTATGGCAATCATTTGAGCTTTTTGTATATTAAATGCAATTACTTTAGGATTGTTTGGATCACTGCCACCTGCGCGAAGACTGGTCGCTTCCGCCTTCATTACATAGATATCAGCGTTTGGCAAATTATTAGTTATTTGCCATGCCTAAAATATATCGGCTAGATTGTATTTGTTGTTTTAAATAACATATATTAGTTTAATTCAGTAACTAAATGTAAAATTAATTATTAGCTTATTTTCCAAATTAAATATAAGTTCCTTTATTAAAATTATATTCATTTATAATTTAAAAAAAAGAACAATATAAAGTAAGGTGCATACCACAGCTGCAAATTTATTTATTACTCAATAATTAATATCAAAAATTAAGGTCTATACTTGTTTACTACCCACAACATTATTGATGACACATAAGGATCATACATACTAACATGAATATTTTTTTTCATGTAACACAGAAGGATAACAGATACTTACAATACCCAAAATATCAGTAATCGGGAACCGCTTACTATCTGGATATTCAATTCCATGATATTTCCATTCAGCCACCGCATATTTATCTCTATCAATAAGTGTCCAGCACACACAGTTAACTGTCACATACACAGATAAGACCAACCTGCAATTCTTAAAAAAATATTTACATAATATTGTGAATGCAATCAATATTAAGATACAGAACAAACCAACAGTTTATGATAATGTCCAAATCAAATTCAACCACACACAACTTCTGCACAGTTTGTAAGTTATCAACTGTACCTAACTTATGTCTTAGTAAACACCTATAAGATGTTAGAGATAAGATTAGGATGCTGTTACTTTAGGAGGAATATTAGGAGTAGTTGTTTTCTCCATTTTGGGAGAAATGTGGTGGGCCCGTGGACGTATGAAAAGGTATTTATTCCCATTGCCCTACTGATATGCGGCTAAAATGGAACTCCAGTTTTATTCAGTGCTAGTCTGCCAAAAACCGTACAGACCCAGCAAGGTGGGTATGGGTAAGAATTAATCAACAATTAGTGTAAAAAAATGTTTGCTCTGGTTGGGATCAAAGTCATTAAACCGGAGTCCAGTATATTTTTTATGCATTTTTTTCACTATGCAATATATTACAGAGTTAGACATAGAGAATATGCTTACATCTGAATTAATACTATTCTTAGGTGAAAAACAGATTCAGACTACAGAGGGACTGAGGTATCCATCACAGTTAATGAAGGCCATTTACAAGTTTCAAATATTTTTTTATATAGAATAAAGGGGACAAATGAGCACACAATCCACCTGATAGCAAGTGGATGCTGTAGCTCATAGGTACCTATCTACATTTTTATCTTTTATTAAAAATCAAAATGCAGATGCGTCGTCACTAAGTGAGTTGAGGATGAAGTTTCTCTACACTCACCATACAAAAACAGCAGCATTAAACTGTTATTAAATATGAATAAAGTTTTGGTCCTATCTATGCAGAATTAGAGCTACTAAACACAAATATGTCAATTTGGTCTAGTATTATGAAGTAGAAACTGTTACTTGATTTTTAAATTTTGTTTTCGATTTAGATTTGTCACTGTTTTACTTAACACTGTTTTTGGAATACAGAAATGCCTTTTGAATTATTTTTCAGGTTTTCAGAGGTATTTCAGAAAACAAAATTATAACAAATCACACTATATTTACCACTATCACAGCCAGTTTAGGGTGATTGCACTTTATAGATAAGATTGGTTGAATTTGTTCTGAAACCGAATCAGCACACCCCGACTCCACATAGTCTTGTCTGTCCTACCACTAGAGTGTTTATGTAAAGCCATAGGCGTGGAGGGAGAGCAGACACCACCCGCCATAGCAAATTGCAGGCAGACATGCAAGCTGTAGAGGCTGAGGCCAGTCGCCGAAGGGGACCAATAAGCCAAAGTTACGGAGGTGAGCATGGGTGTCTGCGATTTGTTACGCAAGAATGAAAGAGCGGCACCTCCTGTAGCACAGCTGTTGCATAAGTAACTTTGGGTCAATATTCCTGTGTGAGGTTATGATTTTACAAAAAAAATCATTACTCATAAACTATACATTTCAGCAAGAGGGAAGGGTTGTTTTGCACCAACCCTCTCCCATCCATGTACGCAAGTACCAGATGTATATAGTTTTATCAATTTACGTAAATTAAATAGTATATTTCCTTAAGTGGATTTCTATAGATAAAGGATTACTAAAGCTACATAGCTGCATAACGAAAGATACCTTAATAAATATATTATGTAATACAACTATAATGTTCATGAAACACCACAATAATTTTACCTGTTTCACAGTTTCAGTCAATATTGGGTGCAAAATCCGTCCTTTAATCTTGTGGGATAAATTTTTTGGTGCACCATCTATTATACTATTGTAAAATTTCTTAACAGTCTTTTCAGTAAAGCCATCAATAGTTTCAAGGTCCGAAATTTTGTTAAGCTTTCCATACTTGTTAACCCACTCACTAAGTTTTTTTAATCTTGTTTTAGCTACATCATACCTGTCACAAAATCAAAAGAATTCCAAAAGAAACTTAGAAAGGGAAGAAAATTCGCAATAAGCCCACAAAAAATAAATAAAACCAATAAAAATAAATCAATTTATACCTAGACAAAATATCCAGATCACCATCATTTACAATCTGTAATATTTTCTGTTTTTGAGCTTCTGAGTACTTATTTTCTATTTCCTGGCTATAGAAACATTTTGTGAAAGAAAAGCTCCGGCAAGTTTTGCACGAGGAAATCTAAAATGATTGTTAAGTAATTCGGTAAATAATTTAAGCAAATATTAAACGCTTTTATCATTGTAGACCAACAATCAAAATACTAACCAAAAACTTCTTATTCGTGACACTTAACATAACTTAATTTGACTAGCGAAAGGAAATACTGATATAATAATGTTCTAATTTAATGGCATGCTGGAAAATCTCAATTTATTTAAAAAAAAATTATTATTTAACTGTATTATTTAACAAAATGATGAAATGAAGGGTATGTTCCGAAATACAACACAGTACACTGTCGAATGCGAATGACGTCATAAATCGACGCCAAATTGGTATTCGTTATATCGAATCTAAGGTGGAATACGACGTCAATTAATGACGTCATTCGCATTCGACAGTCGTATTCGTATACGTCGTATTCCACCTTAAATTCGATACAATGGGTGCGTTTGGCAGAAAAAAGCGCTAGCAAGCGCTTGTAAGCAAAATGGCGATCGTAAGCGGTAAGCGCTATCAAATCGTAAGTAGCTATTTTCCTCCGGGACACGATGTTACTTTTAACGGAGAAGCTAACCTAATTTAAATATATGTTTGTAAAGTATTCATATTAAAAACTTACCAATCATGAATTTTTAATAACAGATATATGTTTATTCATGTCAATATATTACTTAAAACTAATATTGCACAAAACAACTTATAAAATCTACTTCAAAACAAATTAAATAAGCAAAATGGCGGATTGTGTCAGCGCTACTGAAGTAGCAATCGTGTCCTAGCCGAAAACTATTTCAGCGCTTGTAAGCGCTTGCTAGCGCTTTTTTCTGCCAAACGCACCCAACGAATCACCAATTTGGCGTCGATTTATGACGTCATTCGCATTCGACAGTGTACTGTGTTGTATTTCGGAACATACCAAAATAAAAATCTGTGTAATTTGATTGTTAGTGTTGCCACATTGAATTACCGTAGGTCCCTAGACTGCCGTCAAAAGTCCCTAGTTATAGATGAATTTATTAACAAAAAAAGTCCCCAAATGTCGCTAAATTTAATTTTATTAAAAAAAACGCGATATAAAGATAAAGTCGAACAATATATTCATTCTCACACACACACACATATATATATATATATATATATATATATATATATATATATATATATATATATATATATACATGTAAAAAAAAATTTAATGAAATTTTTTTAATTAATAGTTTGCAAATTGTATGTGGTTTTAATATCTCTGCATTGGCCGAGAAGTAAGAAGATTGTCAAAGACCCCGCTGTACCGATACTCGTGTGAGTTAGAGGAAATAAAACCACATAAAATTTGAAAATTATTTTTTTTTATGAAAATTAATTTTTTTAAATATTTTTTTTGAAAAATTATAAGACGGTGGCCCGAGCGTATAGAAATCTTTTTTCAAAGTTTAAAAATTCAATTTTCATAAAAAAAAAAATTTTCAAATTTTATGTGGTCGACCACACGAGAGTATATGGATCATTTTTTTGGCCAATGAGATATTAAAACAATTCTGTAAATTATTAATTAAAAAAATTTAATGAAATTTTTTTTAATTAATAGTTTAAAAATTGGTTTTAATATCTCTGGCATTGGCCGAGAAGTAAGAAGATTGTCAGACCCTGCCAGTACCGATACTCGTGTGAGTTAGAGGAAATAAAACCACATAAAATTTGAAAATTATTTTTTTTTATTAAAATTAATTTTTTTAAATATTTTTTTTGAAAAAAATTATTTCTATACGCTCGGATACCGATTCTGATAACACACTTAACGGGAATCACAGGGTTTTTGTTACATATTGTATACAAGCAATATGAGCATAATAATGTTGTACATGTTAAGTGATTTATTTGTAATAGGGTAGGTGATGGAATGTGGTTGTGCTTCTCTTAATGTGTTTATTATTGTATAAGCGACATCCAGAGAACCTTTGTTTCGGTTCCTTTACATTTTATTATTTCTTTAACGGAGTATAGTATTCCTTACGCCTAAAGTAGTCAGATGGTAACAAAAATTGAAGTAAGTGCAAATGTCGCTAAAAGTCGCCAGAATATTTTTTGTCGCTAAACATTGAATTAAACTCCCCAACTTAACAAAAAACTCGTTAGATTTAGCGACAAAGTCGCTAAAGTTGCAACACTGTTGATTGTGTTTGTGTCGACTTTGACAATGACAACAACAAGTCAAGTTGACAAAAGGCAACTGACCTGCCAAAGTGACGCGTAGCATGCGGGAGCGTATTTATTGGATTAGGCATGTGGATTAGGTATTTTTCATTTACATTTAATCATTTGCAAACGGCATTTTTTGTTCATTTTTTTAAAAGCCATCTAGGTGTTAACGGATAATGCTTACACAAACGTAGTGACTGAATCATGAATCATATTTTATTAGAAGACTTTTTAAAATATTTTACGAAGAAAAGGAATGGAAAACCATACAGCAAATATCTTTATGAATATGTTTTTGGAAGGATTCAGTATTGCAGTAATATTTTTGAAAAGTTTTATTAAGATATATAATTGAATTATGATATTTCACTATTTATGTTTTCTGTTAATGTCATTTTTGACGTTACGAAATGATCCTTTTCTTTTTATTCAAAGAAACTGTAGCTGCTGTTTTCAAGCTTTTTTAAAAAGTGTAAAGACCGATCAATTTAACTAAATTTCGTGTTGATTAAACAACTTTTTAAGCCTTGAACTGTGACCATTGCAATGCGATGACACACTGACTATTTTAAAGAAATGAACTGGTAAGGTAGCCACATCGTCAGCAAGATATTTTGGATTTTTTTAAATAAAAATTGTAGTGGTTATTTTCAGTACATAATTGTTTTCAACAATGGTTACTTGTTCTGTCAGTGTGGTGTCAATAATGGAAAGACTCCTGATAATTGCAATTGACCTCACTGCTATGATTCGTTTATTTTTGGTTAAAATTTATGTTATAATACACTGTTTAAAATATATTCAATGTTTTCATTTATTTTGTTATTTTTATATTTTGCAAAGAAAAAGTCACATTGTTGATAATTTTCACTATTTTTGCTGAATACATTTTTCATCAACTCAAATGTATCGAATATATATTCTTCTTATAGTTAAATATACATCACTAGTTAATACACACAATGACAAATCATTGTCACGCGTTTTCGGTTTGTAAGTTCGTTCAAACGCCAGTACAGATTGATCCATCTTTGTATGAAACTTGAGAAATTTGCACATAATCTATTCTAACTTCGTCTATGTTTGGGTTGGGAACACGGACCTTTTCTCATACAAGTCAGTGGTTGTGAACTAAAATAAAGAGAGAAAAAGATATCGTAGTTTCTTTCCCTCGCGTTGTTTTAGAATGCCATTTTAAAAACTCGAACTGAAGAAACTTTAAATGTTAATTCCTTGCTATATATTTTTGCTTTGCACCTTACAGTAAATATATACGTACTACTATGAGGCTTGCACGATTAATTGACCCATTAATTGATTGAAATTAAATTATTAAATATTAGCAAAATTTTATTAAGAAAAGCCATGAATTAAAAGTTAGTTAGTTACGGTGTTGATGGGAGAATTCAATGCAAAACTAGGCACAAGAGAAAGCGGTGAGCTGAAGGTAGGGAAATTTGGAGTAGGGCAACGAAACCGAAGGGGCCAGCAGCTGGCCGACTTTATGGAGAAAGAGGGACTCTTTATGATGAACTCTTTTTCCAGAAGCGGCCCCACAGGAAGTGGACCTGGTCGAGCCCCGACGGTTCGACAAAAAATGAGATTGACTTCATTATGACGACCAGACGCCAACTGTTCAGTGATGTCTCAGTGATCGCAAGGGTGAAAACTGGCAGCGATCACCGAATGGTTAGAGGCACACTGAACCTAAACGTTAAGTTGGAGAGGTCTCGTCTAATGAAGTCAACGCTCCGTCCCCCTCGTGCTCTAATCCAGAATCCCGAAACCTTTCAGCTCGAGTTACGTAACCGCTTTCAGTGCCTAGAAGATTGCAATGCAGTGGACGATATGAATGACAGGCTCGTGGAAACTGTCCATGCGCTCGGAGCTAAGTTCTGCAAGACCTGCCGCAGAAGAACACAAAAACTCTCCGATCACACTCTTAATCTCATGGCTGTTAGACGGGAGATGAGGCTGCAATCGTCAACAGATGTGACAGCATACAGGCAACTGAACAGACTGATCTCCAAATGCAAGCGGCGAGACTTACTCAACTTTAATACTGCTCGTATTAAAGAAGCGATCGAGCGGAACCAGAGCTCCAAAGTCTTTGCCAGAGATCTGTCTGCCAGAAAGAGCCAACTGTCAAATCTGAAGACTGAGTATGGCAACATCGTTTCCGGGACACCTGAGATTCTGAGTGAGATTGAGAGGTTCTATGGGCAGCTGTACACATCATCGTTGGAGCCACACGCAAGTGTGAGTAACGATCCAAGAGCAAGTCTTAACCGACACTATTCCGATGATATCCCGGACGTCAGTCTGAGCGAGATTAGAATGGCTCTCCGCCACCTTAAAAACGGCAAGGCCCCAGGCGAGGATGGAACTACAGCGAAGCTTCTGAAAGCGGGTGGAACAGCGGTACTTGAAGTCCTTCAGAAGCTCTTCAATTCCGTCCTCCATGGTGGCACTACTCCGGAGGCGTGGAGCAGAAGTGCGGTGGTCTTGTTCTTTAAGAAAGGCGACAACGCTCTCTTGAAGAACTACAGACCGATTTCCCTTCTGAGCCGCGTCTACGTGCTGTTTTCGAGTCATAACGAATCGTCTCGCACGCAGACTCGACGACTTCCAGCCTCCCGAACAAGCCGGTTTCCGAAAAAGCTTCAGTCCCATAGACCACATACATACCCTGTGGCAGATTGTACAGAAGACCGAAGAGTACAATCTGCCACTTTTCCTGGCATAAGTGGACTATGAGAAAGCCTTTGATTCCGTCGAAATTTGGGCGGTGCTACAGTCCCTTCAGCGGTGCCAAGTTGACTGTCGGTATATCGAAGCGCTGAAGTGATTGTACAGTAAGGCTACGATGGCTATCCGAGTACAGAAGCAGTGTTCGAAACCTATCCAACTGCAGAGAGTTGTAAGACAGGGTG